GGGCTCACGCGGCATACAAAAATCCGCCGCCGCGCTTGTGCGGCATTGGTTTGTTCAGTGAACGTGGTTTACGTCGCGGGTGGGTCGCGGGCTCTCCACCTCCACCTGGAAGGAATGCAAAACAAATCGCAAAAAAATCCGCCGCAGGCGCCCAAAAAATTGGTTTGTACACTGAACATTGTTTGGGTCGCGGGTGGGCCGCGGGTTCTCCACCGGGAGCGAATGCAAAAGATGCCCGCCGCAGGCGCCGAAAAATGTGGCTTGTACCCTGAACGTGGTCGCGGGTGGGCCGCGGGCTGTCCACCTGAAACGAATGCAAAAGATGCCCGCCGCAGGCGCCGAAAAATGTAGTTTGTACCCTGAACGTGGTTTGGGTCGCGGGTTGGTCGCGAGTTGGTCACGGGGTGGGTCACGGGCTCTCCACCTGGAAGGAATGTAAAAAAGGCCTGCCGTAGGCGCCAAAAATGGTGGTTTGCACCTTGAACGTGGTTTGGGTCGAAGGGGGGTCGCGGGTGGGTCGCGGGGTAGGTCGCGGGTGGGTCGCGGGTGGGTCGCAGGTGGGTCGCGGGTGGGTCGCGGGTGGGTCGCGGGGTGGGTCGCGGGTTGGGTCGCGGGTGGGTCGCGGGGCGGGTTGCGGGTGCGACGACGAGAACAAACAACAACAAACAACAACAAACAACAAACAACAACAAAAAACAACAACGAGAATCCGCACCACGGAATTCCACTTCAGCCACGCACCCAGGGACAGTGAATGACCGTTCGGCCCCCTCACTTTGACCTGCCTCCCTACATAAAGGATCGAGCGGTTTTTTCTCTTCCCTCCTCTTCCAGGGGCGGGCGGAAGCCCAATCTCCTTCCAACGCCTTCCTACTTCAGGATTCGACCCAGTTCTTCCGACCGGTGTGTACGGCGCGGAGCGCCCCACGCCAGGCCTCAGGAGTCGGCCCCCAGAGCTCGAGCATGATCGAGGGTCGAGGCTTGAGGAGGATCGGATCGGGCTTTGAGGAAGATAAGCGTCGGGGTGTGAGGTTCGAGGAGGGTCGGGGTTCGTCGAGGGGGATCTGCGCTCGAGGAGGAGGGCTTTGTGGAAGCCGACCGTTGCGACGCGGCTCCCAGGAACAAGACACTTCGGCATGAAAATCAGTTTTCGGAGAGGCTCGCGGATTCCTCGGATCGGAGCCAGGGGAGGGCTCCAGGGCCGATCCAAGAAATCGGCACGGACCTCCGACAGTTTCCGCCCACGCCGCCCAGACCCCGACGTCTTAATGTGGACCCACATGCAGAAGTCTGGACCCCTTTCTTGGGACCCGTTTCTCCATCCAGAGTCGTTATTGTCTTTTGAAGGCCCCGAGGCCCAGAAAGGGGTTTCCAGAGGCCGAAAATAGCAAAATACCTTCCGTCGTTATTCCTTACGGCGCGAGGGGGGTTGGGCATTCCTTCTTCATGGGTGGCAGCCTTTAGGGTGCCAGGACCAGGTAGGCTCAATTCCTTGAATGTTCCTTGCTTGCGACCGCATTTGTCTCACATCATGGTTCTTCCTTGGATGTTCCTTGGCAATTCCTTTCTGGGAATGTCCCTCCAAGGCCCATGCTCCTATCAGCAAGTACGCGTTCCGCAGTTTGCCTTCCGCTGACTTCGGGCCCCAGAAAGTCCGACCCCCATCCGGGCGAGGGCTAAGGTCGAGCACTTTTGCTCCGGGCGTCGCGCCGCCAGTTTTTGCCCATTACGCTTCGGCGCAGCATGTGCTACCGTTTGCGACGCTGAGTTCGTACAAGCAAGCATGACTTCATAAACTGGGCCTGGGCCAGGCAAAGGAGCACCCCTCCATCCATCCAGCTGCTGGGGGTATCAACCTCGACGGTAATGCAATGGGTGGACGCCCTGGGCGAGAGTCACATTTGGAGGATGTGCAGTCCTTCATGAGTAAAGCATTTGGTTATTCGTGACATGAGCGAGCACGGAGCCCATGAAGGAGGAGGAGGAGGTGGAGGAGGTGGAGGAGGAGGAGGAGGCGGAGGAGGAGGAGGAGCAGACGCAGTACCACCGGACTCCAAGCAAGAACAGGAGCACGAACAACAGTGGAAGGACGAACAGGCACTGGATGAGGGAGCAGAATGAGGAGGATGTCGAGGACGAACACGAAGCGGACGAGGAGGAGGAGGACGAGGAGGAGGAGGAGGAGGCGGCGGATGAGGAGGAGGGGGAGGAGGAGCAGGCAAGCAGCGTGACGAGTAGGAGCACGGGGAGGACGCAGGCACCCCGGCGGCAGCCAGGAGCCCCATGGCTCGTGCGACGCGTGCTGGGGTGCCGCTACACGGGCGGGGGACGAGAGGTGTATTTTTCCGTGCATTTTCAGGACCCTCAAGGGGCCCTCCCGGGCCCGACAATGATGCGAAAGGTGCACGTCTGGCCGCCCCCCCCCTCTTCGTTCCCCCTCCAGCAGCGCCCAAATGGCGCCCCCCCGCTGCTCCTCCCCAGCCCCTCCCTTTCTGCGGCGCCCACCGGCCCTCGGCGCAAGGACCCCCCCCTCTGGGCTGGCGCCCGCGCGCGCGCGCCCCTCGAGCGTGCGCCCACCACGCGCGCGCATGGGGGCCGCCGGCGCCGGCGCCGCGGCACCGCAGGTCGGGAAAACGGCAACGCAACACGGGCCAGCCACGCGCCGAGGGGGGTAGGGGGAGGGGGATGGGGCTTCTTAGAAGCACCCTTCGCTTCTGAGAAGGCGCGGGCCTTCTCTGCAGATGAAGGACCGGCGCCTTCTAAGAAGCAGCCTCCTCCTAGGAAGCCTCCCCCCCTCCCCCCTACCCCCTTGTGCGCGCCGCCAAGTAGGGGGGTCGAGGGTTGCAGAAAACTGTAGCCCCGAAGGGGCCCTCGAGGAGGCCCCACAACTGCTACCGCGGGCCACAAGGGTACACGGAGGGCGCACGTCTCGCTTCACCCCGCGCTTACGGTCGGGACCTCTTGGACAGCGTCTGGCTCCGCGGGTCCTGACCCAGCGCGCCTCGGCGCGACACGCTGTCCACCTCCCAGCCCCCCCCCGCCCGGCGTCCGCGCCCCGAGCCTCTCTGGAGCCTCCCGCTCCGCGGGGCAGAGCGTGCAGGGCCCAGCGTGTCGCTGGGGCCGCCGCGCGGCGCGCCACGCAGAACCTTCCGACCGTATATGCCCACCACTCCTCGTCCTTTTCCTCCTCCTCCTTCTCCTCCTCCTCCTCCTCCTCCTCCTCCTGCTCCTCCTCCTCCTCCTCCCCACCATCTCTCTCCACCTTTTCCCTCCTCCTCCTCCTCGTGCTGATTCTCCTCCATCCACCTCCTCCACCTCTTCCTCTCCTCCTCCTCCTCCTCCTCCTCCTGCTCCTCTCCTCCTCCTCCTCCTCCTCCTCCTCCTCCTCCTCCTCTCCTCCTCCTCCCTCCTCGCTCCCTCCTCCCTCCCGAACGCCCGAGCATTCTGCCTGCGTGCGGCGCCAGGCGGACGGGGGGCGGCCAGGCGGCTGCTGTCAGTTGCCATAAGTGTCGTCGAGGCCGGCTCGCGTCGCGGGGGGCTGGGGCTCGGCTTGGTAGACGTCCCCCCTCAGGCGATCTCAAACTAGGTCAAAGATGCGGGTGAATTAGCGACGGGTCCCGTTGCCCATAAGACTCCGCTGATATTCCGCCGACGAGCGAGGCGGCACCGGTGGCATTTTGGGGAGGGAGGTGCCCGATCCATGGCTGTGGCGACTGCGCGCCAAATCCATGGATCGCTAATCCATGTTTGCGCGCCCCCGACCCCCTGTCCTCGGTTTGGGGGCACGGGTGGCACGGGGCAGCTGGTGCCGTGGGCAGCATCGGGGCCGCTCTCAAATGCAAATCAGCTGCCCAGACATGCTCGCGTTGAAAACAATAATCAGAGCCAGAGCGCACGGTTTTTGGCAATGTTCGGCCTCGGGGGGCCCTCGCCGGGCCTCGGGGCCATCAGTAGACGACTCGGGATGAAAATCCGGTCCCGATGAAAGGGTTGGGACTTCCAGGGACCCCGTATTGAAAAAACATGACGTCGCATGTCTGGGGCATCAGGGTGCTCTCAAACGCAAATCAGCTGGTGAGCTAGTGCCCATGAGGTTTGCAGTCAACCACCATGCCGTTTGAAGCATCCGGGCGCGCTGGATAGTAACTTAATGAAGCTTGCAATGCGTCCGCTGGACACCAACGCCTGTGACAGGGAGCCTCCTCGCCATCCCTGCGGGTGCCTTTTTGCAGTGAGCGCCTGCTCTGCGCCTGCTCTGCAGCGATCTCGGGTCAGAGGTCTTCGTCGGCCGCTCTGGTCGGCGCTCGGCGGCGTTCCAGCCTCGGGAGTCTCCTCCAGCAGCTGCGCGCCTCGCCGAGAAGCGTTAAACAGGGTGCCCGAGTACCGTCGCCCCGATCGGCCGCCAGAGACCCGCGCTATGACCCGAAAGCCAGGTCTCCGACGACATGCTCTGCTCAATCCAGGCGTCTCTTGTTTAGCGATTCCGACCCCAATGGGGCCTCCGTGATCGCCCTCCGTGGCCTGTCTGGCTCAAGTTAGGGAGGCTCGGGCACGCACCCTGGGGCGGATCCAGCACCCGGCCCGCGCCGCTCGCTTGCCCGCCGGGCCCGCCGCTGCGCTCCGAGTGGCGCGCCATGCCCTGCCGCCGGCGCGGCCGCCGCGGCGCGGCCGCGGCAGCGGTCGGCGCAGCCCTGGCGGCGGCCGCGGGGCGCGGGCACGCGGCCCTGCTGGAGGCCTTCGCCGGGCCGGCCGCGGGGCCCGCCCCGGTGCGCGGGGCGCGCCCGCGGGCTGCGGCTGCCGGCCCCGGCCGCGGGGCGCGGGCTCCGGCCGCGGCCAGGCACGTCGGCCCGCGCAGCGCGGAGCGCCAGAGCGGCGTCAAGCACATCTCCTGGGAAACAAGAAGCAAGTCGTGGCGCGTTCAGTACACGATAAGGAACGGCCCAGACAAAGGTTTCAGGAAGTCGCCTCGATTCCGCCCGAAGGACGGGTCGCCGGAGCAGGTGGAGCGGGCGCGGCTCGCCGCCGTCGAGGCGCTGCGGCGGCTCGAGGGGGAGGACCAGCTCGGAGAGCTCAGGCGGGCCCCTTCTGGACGCAGCGGCAGCGCGGAGCGCCAGAGCGGCGTCAAGTACATCTTCTGGTGCAAAAGTGGCCAGGCTTGGCTTGTTCAGTACAGGATACAGAACGGCCCGGACAAAGGTAGCGTGAAGCAGCCTCGATTCCTCCCCAAGGACGAGTCGCCGGAGGAGGTGGAGCGGGCGCGGCTCGCCGCCGTCGAGGCGCTGCGGCGGCTCAAGGGGGAGGACCAGCTCGGCGAGCTCAGGCGGGCCCCTCCTGGACGCAGCGGCAGCGCGGAGCGCCAGAGCGGCGTCAAGTACATCTACTGGCACAAAAATGAACAGGCGTGGCGGGTTCATTACAAGATCAAGAACGGCCCTGACAAAGGTAGCGTGACGAGTCTTCGATTCCGCCCCAAGGACGGGTCGCCGGAGGAGGCGGAGCGGGCGCGGCTCGCCGCCGTCGAGGCGCTGCGGCGGCTCGAGGCGCTGCGGCGCCTCCAGCAAGATGACCGCGCGCTCGGGCCGCGCAGCTCCGGCGCGCCCTGCGCCGGCCGCGGCCGCGGGGAGGCGCCCGCCGCGCCCGCCGAGGGGGAGCGGCTGCCCGCCTTCCGCGGGCGCTACCCCGTCGACGACGGCGCCTTCGAGCTCTTGGCGAGGCAGCCGGCCGAGGTGCAGTCCATGGTGATCTCGAGGTTCCGCCCGCCAGAGGAGGGCCTGCCCGACTACTCGGCGCTGCTGGCGAGCGTCGTCCAGACCATCACGGATGCCGCACGGCGGCCGCTCCAGGTCGCGACGTTCTCGACGGGCTGTTTCTGGGAGTCGCAGCTGTTCGACAGGGTGAGCGGGGTCCTCCGCACCACGGTCGGCTACACTGGCGGTAACACGCTGAGCAAGCCGACGCACGAGAGCGTCCAACTTGGGGACGGGCACTCCGAAGCAATCCGCATAGAGTTCGACCCTCAGCTGATCACCTACGACGAGCTCCTCACCCACTTTGACCGCATTCGTAAGCGCACGCCTGCGCCAGTGGGCTTGGCGTTTGCTGGGGGGGCACAGCCCCACACTGCCGCTGTGCAGGCTGGGACTAAGACGCAGCACCACTCGGCCATCTGGTACCACGACGAGGAGCAGAAGAAGGCCCTGCAGGCACGCGCCAGACGAGGCGCCCCGGAGGTCCACGCCGCGCGCATGGAGACCTGGCACGACGCGGAGAGATACCACCAGAAGTTCCACCAGAAGGGCTGCAGCGTGCAGTGACGCGCAGACTCCATCCCTTCTCCTCCTCCTGCCCCTCCTTCCCCGCTCTCCCGAGGCCTGGATGGGGCGAGGGGTACGGTCGGGGGCTTGGCCCGTGGGGCCGGGCGGCTTGCCTCCCCTCCCGTGGGGCCGGGCGGCTTGCCTGCGCCCACGGGGCGCAGCGGGACCTTCCGCGTTCGCAGCTGCATCGCTCCGCCGCTGTCGCCGCGCTCGTCGGCCTTCTCGCTGGGCACCTTTTCTCTGCACGTCATTGGTTGGGGGTCGGAGCGGCTCTGGGTGTTTATTGCTTTTGCACGTCACTGTCGTTGCCCACTCGGCGCCGAGCATGTCACCCGGCATCGAGATTCAGACTGGCCGCGCTTGCGCCACTCCGGGAGCGCATCGAATCAGGGGGTTTCACGCGCGCGTGTTCGCGAGCACGGCCTGGCAGTCTGCAGCGTCGCAAAAAAAAGATGGAGCCTCCGTGATCGCCCGCAGGCCACGAAGTGTGGATCTACCGGAGGATGTGTGGGCCTGTCGTGCGCCATGGAAGAAATGGCGTCCTGACCCAAAGCTGCGAAAAAGTCGCGGCGACGGTTCTTGTCCATCCCCAACCTCGGGGGGTCCTTGCGGGGCTCCAGGGCTGTTGAAGTCGACCAGGGATGAGAAGTTGGTCCAAGAGAAAGGTAATGACATGCGAAGGTCGCGACTCCAGAGATCTGGGGAGGGGAACGCGTCTAAGTTTTCGTGCCGTTTTTGGCCCCATCGACTCTGGATGAAGAGGTGATCTTGAGGGAATCCTCTCCTCCGAGGAGAAGCGATGCGGCGAGGTGGGCGGGTGTGAGACGGGGAGGGGCGATAAGGAGAGGGGTGGGGGTGGGCGGGGGGGGGATGGAGGAACAGGTGGAAAGATGTTTGTTGTTACCTGCGACGCTCTCCTGTCAGCACAAATAAGAAACTTGATGTTCCTCTCCCTCTTGTTCAGCTGGGGGTGCTTGCCTTCAGCAAGCCCTCGAAAGTGGAAACAGTTTCGCAGATCGCAGACCCCCAGGGATGGCGAGGTCCAGTCCGAATCTGGGTAGGGCCCATGCTATGCTGACCCCCCCAGCAACCCTCGAACATGGCGACAGTTTCGCAGATCGCAGCCCACCAGGGATGGCGAACTCTAATCCGATAATTACCCGCGTATTCTGAGTACCTGTTTTTTTCTTGGTGTGACAAATCTTCCAGCGGGGGGGGGCTAGGGGGCCCTATAGTCGGGGGGCGGGGCCTGTAGTCTGGGGCGTGGGGCGGGGTTAGTAGTTCGGAGGGGCCCTTGTAGTCCGGGGGGGTGGCCTTATAGTCCGGATGGGGGGGGAGGCCCTTGTAGTCCGGGCGGGGTTCCTGCAGTCTGGGGGGATAATGCGTCGATCTTCGTGGTTTGACGTTCCGCTCGACGACGGCGAAAACGACGACGACGACGACGAAAACGACGACGACGAAAGCGACGACGACGACGACGAGGACGACGACGACGACGACGACGACGACGACGACGACGACGACGATGTCGCCCGTGGTGGGCGCCGCCAAGCATGCAACTGTCTCTGCTCGTCTGCGCCCCTCTGCAGGCCAATCGGAGAGCCATGTCCCGAGCTGTGGCCAGGCACTGGTTCGCGCGGGATGAGCGCTCGTGCGCTGTCGCGCGCGCAGGCCGTGCAGCGCACAGCAGCCGCAGCGCCACACGCAACGCAGACAACGCGCAGTGCGCGAGCAAGTGCGCAATCATGTCGTCTGGCGGGCAAGCCGGTGATTCCGCGGCTGTGCGCGGGCACGCTCGCGCGCCCGCGTACAAGGAGCCTCTATCCGAGACAGAGGCGCCAACCTCGACCGCTGGCTATTCGTAGCACTTGTGCTGGGAGGGTGCCTGAAGTCCTGAGGTGGGCCCTTGTAGTCAGGGGGGGTGGTCCCTGTAGGGGGGGAGGGCCCTTGTAGTTCGGGAGGGGTCCTTGTAGTCTGGGGGGGGGGGGGCTGTCGTCTGGGGGGGGGGGCGCCTGTAGTCCAGGGGAGGGGCCCTTGAAGTCTGGGGTGCCCCATGTACTCCAGGGGCCCAAAGAAATTGAGATACTCAGAGTCTGGCGTAATTGTGCTGGCCCCCCCAGGAGTCTTCGAAAGTGGCGACAGCTTTACAGATCATAACCCCCCAGGGACGGCGAGGCCTAATCTGAATCTGCGTCTAGTGTCATTGTTCTGGCCCCCTCCCGAGCAACCCTCGAAAGTGGCGACGGTTTCGCAGATCGCAGCCCCCCCAGGGATGGCGAGGGCGGAGGCAGGTACGAGAGAGGTACAAGACAAGAGAAGAGAGACGACCACATTACTCTATCCATAACGAAAACCCAACAACGGAGGAGTGGGGAAACGAGACAAGCCGTACGTCCTGTACTTGGCAACGTTTTGTTGTTCTGGCATTGTTTCCCCCCAGCCACCCGTATGGTAAACGTGGCAAACGAGACAGAAACAACAGACAGACCCGTCTGAGCATTCCACCACTGCACCGCGATGCTTTGTGCGGGCAATCAATGCAGTATGAGGTCAAGGGGGCCTTGAAGCAGCGGCTTGGGGGAGGACGACTGTCACCCCGCTTCCCTGAAGACAAGGCGGCGCCACCAGGAACCCAGCCAGGCCCAGTATTGGGGCCGCTGCAGTCGACTTGGCTTGGGGGGGGCTTCCAGTACTACTACCGCTGAGAGGCCACACTTAGGCAAGAGCGGAAGGAGTTTTGGCGGCCAGTTTCAGCACCATCATGCTGGTGCTGATGTAAAATTGGTGCGATCTTGGACATTGGGCGCTGGTTTGGGGTGGACCACGGCCCCCAACTTGACCGAGACATCTGCATACTCATTGCCTTGCCCTACTGAAGCGCTCCTGATCACTGATACCGGTTCCCCGAGCTCCCTGTGTCCAGGAGAAGGTGGAAGGTGGAAGGAGGAACCTAAGGAGGACGAGGCTGACGCTTCAGCCCATTTGTGCGTCAGTCCGCGCAACGTAAATTAGAAGGAGACATGTTGTTGATGATGATGATGACGATGATGGTGATGATGATGCTGATGCTGATGCTGATGCTGGTGATGATGCTGCATATGATGGTGATGGTGGCGATGATGATGCTGATGATGATGTTGATGATGCTGATGCTACTGATGATGATGTTGATGCTGATGCTGGTGATGATACTGACGATGCTGATGATGACGTTAGAAAATGTCATGGTATTAGTGATGATCATGATGATGAGGACGATGATGGTGATGTTGTTGATGATGATGCTGTTGATGATGCTGATAAGGATGATGCTAATGATAATGTCTATTGTCATCACAATGATGGTGGCGCTGAGGATGATTATGAGGAGGATGGTGATGATGCTGATGAGTCTTGCGCAGGTACTGATGGTGATGCTGATGCTGATGAGGGTGCTGATTATGCTGCGAATGATGACAATTACGATGATGCTGGTGATGATGATGATGATGGTGGTGGTGATTGCCATCGCCATGATGATAATGGTAATGATGGTGATTGTCGTCACCATAATGGTTGTCAGCACCAAGATGATGGGGATGATGAGGACGATGGTGATGATGATGAGTCTTGCGCGTGTGGTGATGGTGATGAAGATGATGATGTTGATGATGATGATGGTGATTGTGATCGTGGTGCTGATAATGATGATGATGCTGATGCTGATGCTGATGCTGTTGCGAATGATGATGATTACGATGATGGTGCTGGGAATGATGATGATAATGGTAATTGGCATCATAATGATGATGATGCTGAGGATGATGAGGATGATGGTGATGATTATGTTGCTGATGATGATGAGCCTTGCGCTGGTATTGATGGTGATGCTGCTGCTGATGATGGTGATAT